CTAGAGCTTGGCTCATAGTCATACTAATTTGTGCTAGAGCTCGGCTCATAGTCACCCTACGTTTGCTAGAGCTCGGCTCATAGTCATACTAATTTGTGCTAGAGCTCGGTTCATAGTCACCCTACGTTTGCTAGAGCTCGGCTCATAGTCATACTACCATGTGCTAGAGCTCGGCTCATAGTCACGTCAACTAATCCCTAAACCACTTCTTAGTCTAGGTCCCAACCATTTTGAGTAACCCTTAAGGCCTACTCCAAATGTAATTTGAGTTCATAAAGTCCACCTTAAACATGTCCTTTAAGGTTACTCAATTCCAATATCTTGGGATTAGCTCCCAAAAACTATTGAACTAACATTCCCGACTAGTATTTCTGTACTAGTCATTTAACCTTAATAAACCAATGCAAATTCATAATAATTTGAATATTTCAATTAAATTCCACATTCAAGTATAACTTGGCTCTAATATCAAAATATCACTTTTATCCTTCCATGACTTCCTTACATGAGGTAAAAGTATATTTATCATAATTTAGTTTATAGTTTACACAACTATTATATCATTATATTTATAACACATAATCATACACAATTTATTCATAAATTTGTATATTATGCATTTTTGCTTATAAACAATAATAATCTCATTTAGGCATTTTTTTATTATAAATAAATCATGCCAAAAACATATAATTCATTTAGGTAATCTTACGAAATTAACCCAATAATTATAAGCAATATAGTCGGTCATCCTCACCTTAAGTGAGCTTAAGCGTGTTCTACGCTCCGCGGTTGAACTTTGACTAATTCCGGCGAACTTTGACCAACTCCGGCGAACTTTGACCAACTCCGGCAAAACTCCGGCGAAGCTCAAAAACACTTTAATCAAGTTCCTAACAAGGTTTTAACATCATAAAACCTTAATCAATACAAATAACCCCTAAAAGATTATTTTCCGGTGAACTTGTCGGTTTGGCTTCTAAATCCGTTCTTGGACTTAGAACCACTCTCCAACCCATTATTCTACACTTAAATTATGTAGAACAACCCTCAAGGTTCTTCATATGATATATATCTCATATGATAGAATAAAAATAGAGGAAAGTTATGATAAGGTTATTACCTTAATCCTTTCACACTTTTAACACTTTAGCTCATTTTCTTGGTATTCTTTCTTGTAAAGCTCTCTTCAACAAAGGAGGAGGATGGAGAATTTTCTTGGCTCTTGCTTGGTGTTCTGGCCGCAGGGGTGAGGGAGAGAGTGGGTGAGGATTGTTCTTTGTCTTTTGATCAATGAGTGAGCCAAATGGGGGTCCATCATGTGTACTTTTGATGCCTTTCCTCTCAACCCCAACATCTCCCACCTTCCCCTCTCCATTCCAGCCGCCCCACCTCCACATTCATGTGTCAAAATTCGTGGGTTGGCCCCCACTTATGTGGGAGGTCAACCCCTTTTGTCCAGAAGTGTACAATCGGTCCCGAAAGTTGTATTTTTCGGACTGTTTTAAATATATTTTATTTTATCGGGTCACATAAAATATATTATGTTTTCTCAATCATTATGACCCTTATAGTGAATACTAGTTTTTTAGACGCGCGTTGCGCGACAAGGTTAATGCCCAACATTATTTGTGTAAAATAAACAACTACTTTGAATATGTAAGATCATGTAAAGCAAAAAATTAGGATGAAATCTATATGAGATATCTAACAACGCTATTCGAGTAGTTTTTTATTCGGCAAATTGCCCGAATCTTATGTTTTTTTAATCCAATCGTCGATTTTATGCCAATCATACATGTTCTATTTTTTCTTTTAGTTTTTGCTTGGCTGGCTGCGGTAAGTTTTATCAAAATAGGAGTTAAACTCATTCGAGTAAAAATAAATCTCATGCCTATATATAGAAACGGAGACACACAAACATGCACCTCTGAACCCACTTCTACCCATGTGCTATGAAAACCAACTCTCACGCTCCTCATTTTTTTGCAACAAACTACTACGTAATATATTTACACACAAAAATGAAGCATTGGTGTATACTCCAGAATCCCAGATTCATAAGAACACATATAACAAATGATGATTAAGAAGCAAGTAGAGAATTGTATATGATGTATACAATACTCAATTTTTAAGACCATGTATACACCCGGTGATATAAGGACTCCAACTAAAAACGCATTCTTTATGAATTTGAGACCTCATCCTTAGTAAGAGTACTGGTGTATCAGGATGATGATGAGAAGTGTGTAGGATAATAATGGGTCTTTAATCCAAAATGAGTTGGAGTTCTCGATTTTTAAAAACTAAAAACCTAAGAATTGAAAATTTAGGGTTAACCTGGCATGGCCAAATTACCAAATTGGTACACAAAAAAAGAGAGGGTGGTTTATCAGATTGGTAAAAAAACACCTGAGACATATGGGTGATAAAATAGTAGCCGCAGTGACAAGTTGGGTAATATTTTGTGAGTGAGACACTTTTGGTCTTCGACTTTAGAATTCCCGACATTTCATATCCAAAGTATTGTGAAATTTACATTTTCCGTCCTTCTACTTTGCTTTTGTCATCAAAAGTGGAGGACTAAAAATGTCAATAGCCGTGCTTGATAATAGCAGTTGTCTGGTGGCTAATAGCCAGTTGAATAATATGGATCATATTGATAATAGCGGAATTCATTAGCTTTTATAACTAACCGCTTTCATTAGCGTTTGAAATAAAATGTTAATAACTTAACTGTTTGCGATTAAATGTTAAGACGTAAAATGACCATTAAATAAGTCTTTGAAAAGGTTTTAGAATTATATTTACATTTGTTTTAATTAACCATGGAGTAGATTTTTTAAATGAAGTAGATTTTTAAAAAAAAACTAATAAATAGTCATATTTAAAATATTAATACTAAATATATATGAATTTATATGTGTGTGCTCGCATTAATGTGCATATCTTAAAAATGACAGTGTTCGTAATTATTTAAAGCAAATGCAAACATAATTTTTAAAACTTTTTCCAAGACTTATTAAATGTCAAAGAAATAAAATTAAGTTAAATATATAAACTTTTAAATTCATTTTTATGGTCATTTTACGTCTGAAAAGCTAATTGCAAATTTTATGTTACCAACATTTTATTTCAAACCGCTAATGAGAGCGGTTAGCTAAAAAAGCTAATGAAATCCGCTAATATCAATCTGCTGATTCAACCGGCTATGAGCTAACAAACAATTTCTATTATCAAACACGGTCGTTCACATTTTTAGACCACCATTTTTTATGACAAAATTCATGTAAAAGGACTGCAAATGTCAGTATCACAATATTTAGAAATATGAAATGTCAGGAATTCTAAACTCGAGAATCAAAAGTTTATCACTCAAAAGAAATTGACCAATTTATCAGTTTCTTTTTTACCAATATATCTCAAGTGGTTTTTTTCCCACCAATCTGCCAAACGACCCTTTTTTTCAATTTGGGAATTCGGCCAGGTTAACTTGAAGAAGATAAATGGAGATATTAAGGAAAACAATATAACCATATTGAGAAGCCCTTCTTCAGCCATAAAACAAATGGCATGAAAAATCCTAGGATTAAATTATCAAATTAGATATTACCTTGAGCCTTATAGCCAATGGAAGAAAGTGGGATTTGATTGGTTTCAATCGGTTTAAGCTCATCATACCGCAAGAAGCTAAGGAGCAATAAGAATACTGGTGTATTCGTTTGATGAAATACGCCCGCGCCAGTTTTGACGTCAATTCACAGAATCGTTTGATCCACGTCTCGTATAATAGAGAAGAGCACAATGGTTTCAACGTAAGGTACAAGGCTATATTAGCATATGATTACACCAACACATTTTTATACCAAAAGTGCCCTTACTCCTATTGACTATTATAAGATTTTAAGATAAGATACATTCCCCAGCTTTAATTTATAGGTCTCCGAAATCCAATTTCGGACTGTTATCCGTTAAATTACCAATACCGGTAACTGAGCCGTTTTTGAGAAATCGGTTCACATTATGCCATTTCTTTGGACCAAATACATTATCCACCTCTATATAAATATTATTTCGACCCAGTTGAATAAAATATACGGTCTTGGGAATATCGGGCGGCCCCACTCCCGGTGTGGGTCCCACGTGCGAATTTATTATTTACGCAAAAGAAATATTAAAAATTCACCACTTCGTATATTCATTAATCATTCCATAAGGTTCAATACATTATACTCTTAAAAGTAAATACATTTGGGGACGGTGTTACAAGTTCACCCCCCCTTATTTGGGATTTCGTCCCCGAAATCCACGTGTCTAATTGAAAAGAAACGGGTATTGCTCCCTCATTGAGACCTCAGTCTCCCAGGTTTCTTCTTCGACTCGATCACTCCTCCAAAGAACCTTTACCATAGGAATCTCTTTGTTCCTCAGTTTCTTCACCTGTTGGCCCACAATCTTTACTGGTTCCACTGCATATTGTAGATCTTCACGTATCTCCACCGGTGGCTTCTCAAAAATATGAGACGGATCTCTCACGTATTTCTTGAGCATCGATACATGAAACACGTCGTGTATCTTCTCAAGTTCTGGCGTCAACTTGAGACGGTACGCCACGGCCCCTATCCTTTCAAGGATTTCAAATGGACCAATGTATCTGGGGTTAAGCTTTCCCCTCGATATGAATCGGATGATACCCTTCCAAGGAGAAATCCTTAGGAAGACCTTATCACCGACCTCGAACTCCAATGGCCTGCGTCGTCTGTCGGCATAACTCTTCTGCCGGTCTTGGGCAGCCTTGAGTCTATCCTGAATGACTTTCACCTTAGCCTTGGTGATCTCCACAAGCTCAATCCCTTCGAGCTTGGCCTCGCCAACCTCATCCCAACACAACGGTGTTCTGCATTTCCTCCCATACTGTAACGCCCCTCTCAGGGTTAAAGGAAACGTTACACTAACTTACTACTTTTAAAATTAACTGCAATATAATGGCCATCTATTTAAGAAAATAACCCTGATAAAATCTCAAATATAACTAAAATATAGCTCCAAATAAAAATTCAATAAAATCTAGCTATCACCAGCAAATGTGATAACCACCTGGATCCAGGAATTTACTGAACTTCAAATCCTCAAATAAAAATAAAGTAATATTTATCACTTTATTATAACACTGAAATACTGAAAACTAAATAATATCTAGCTAGAAGCCGCCAAGGTCGTTCCCGTTAACTCATCTTGGCACGCGTTCCACTCTCTCATCATCTTCCTCGGCCTGGGCCTTAACCTTAGCTTTAGTATCTGTACATGCGAAGAAACAAAACTGATAAGCTTTACGCATAGTAAGTCACTATGGATCCACAAAAATATCTAGAAGTCTGTGTCAATTTATCAATAGATAAATTTAGACTATAAGCATGCACTGAACAAATAACTATCACATAACCTCTCAAATACATTCTGAGTGAGATCTCAAAAGGAAAATATTTTCTAAAATAATTTCTCAAAACTGTTGGAGAGATCTCAAAATTTCTTCTCAAAACATCTCTGTAAAACTTTCTAAAAGAGATCTTAAAAACGTCTTTCTGTAAAACTTTCTGAAAGAGATCTCAAAAACAACTTTCTGTAAAACTTTCTAAAATAGATCTCTTATACTTTCTGTAAAGCTCTTTGTGGCTAATTTTACTCTGTGGGCCCGTGATATGTACTCAAAGGCGCCAATCCGACAGCTCAGGGGAGCGACCCACTAAACATATCGGACTCTCTGAAACTGATAACTCTGTAACTCTGTGGGAACTTGTTCCCGAGTACATATCACTTAATCTTTCACTTTAAGTATTAGTTCTTTTCTTTTTCATGGTGACATTTGGATAAAACACCATTAACATCTTGAAATAAAAGTACTGACACAATCCTGACTATGCCAGATAATAAACATAATTTGACATGACAAATAAAATAACTCATCAAATAATTCACCAAGTTCACATAATAGCAAATAGACTAAAATCATCTATTAAAAATCAACCAGACTTCTTCCTTTTATTTGGTTGAACAAACATGTACAGGTGGTAGTGAACTTACCTGCTAGCAGCTGGACTCAAAATACTCAGACAAGTGTGGCACCTTGATAACGTCTTCCGGTAAGCTCTTCCCTTAAATCTTTAATTAAATGTAATAATCTAATAAGAATATTACTTTACCTATAAAGCAAACCCTCTTTAAAAAAAGTGCTACTGCTGCTCTCTAACTAAACATGAAACAGAGATGACATGCTAGCTCAATTATATACGCAGCAGTGTACATGAGTTCCAGACTGGGTATAAAAATGAAGTTTTACAAATTAAAGATCTGTAAGCACCACTAACCCAAATTAGGCATTGAATGAACAAAATTGAACTTGGTAAAACTTAAATATGCAAAATCTGGCTATGGATTTATTCGACTGCAAAATTTATGAAAAGTCTCCAACTGATAGCTACATACACAGCAACCCAGTGGAACCACCCAGGTTTAACCTTAAAGCTATGTTTTCCCAACACAAAACTACCTTCAAAACCGTACATAGATTCCCTTTAAACTGAAAAGAGTTGCAACAATCAAATTAATCTACAATTAAGTAAAACAAAAACCAATGAAGGAACTTAAAATAATCCCTATACTCATAAACTTATACGAACTTGTGTAGCAACAAAACTCACCTAACTTAAAAGAATTGAAATTGACCTAGCAGTCAAACTGATTAACGATTGAATTGAAATAAATCTTAGGTTAACACAAAATTTGAACTACGAAGCAAAACATCCTCAAAGAACCTGATACAATGTCTCGTATGGAGGCATGCCAATACTCGCCTGATAACTGTTGTTATAGGCAAACTCGACTAGAGCCAAATGTTTGTCCCAACTTCCTTTGAACTCCAGAGCACATGCCCTAAGCATGTCCTCCAATATCTGTATCTACCTCTCAGATTGTCCATCCGTCTGTGGATGAAAAGCTGTGCTAAACTTCAGTTTAGTACCCAAAGATGCTTGAAACTTGGGCCAAAATCGAGACGTGAATCGTGGATCCCTATCCGAGACAATGGATATCGGGACTCCATGTAGTCTCACAATGTCTTCCGTGTATAGCTTTGCCAATCTTTCAAGGGGATAAGTAATGTTGATAGGCAAGAAGTGTGCACTCTTGGTGAGCCTATCAACCACTACCCATACCGCATCATAGTTGTTCACTGTTCGTGGTAGCCCCACCACGAAGTCCATGGTCACATGCTCCCACTTCCATTCTGGAATGGTCAGTGGCTGCAAAAGCCCTGTCGGGTGCTGATGCTCCGCCTTAACTTGCTGGCAAGTAAGGCATCGATTCACGTACTCTGCGATGTCCCTCTTCATACCCGACCACCAGTAACTTTCCTTCAAGTCTCGGTACATTTTAGTACCTCCTGGATGCATAGCATATGCCGAAGAATGAGCCTCCTCTAGTATGGACTTTTGGAGCTCCTCACTCTTTGGTATGCATACACGGTCTTTAAACAGTAAAAGACCGTCATCACGTACCCGAAAGTTCTCCACGGGTCGTTCAAGGATCCTCTCGCGGATCTTCTGGCATTCTTCATCAGTGGCCTGACATCTACTGATCTCACTCAGCAATGTAGGCCTAACCTCGAATCGAGCAATGAGGACCCCACTCGTGGACACCTCCACTTGTGCCCTCAAAGTTCGTAGACATGTGAGTAATGTCCCCGACGTACTCTTCCTGCTCAGTGCATCGGCCACTACATTGGCCTTTCCGGGATGATAGTCGATGATCAAGTCATAGTCCTTGATCAACTCCATCCACCTCCTTTGCCTCATATTCAACTCTTTCTGAGTGAATACATACTTCAGACTCTTATGATCGGTAAAAATGTGACATGTCTCCCCATAGAGGTAATGCCTCCAAATCTTTAGTGCAAACACTACCGCCCCCAACTCTAGATCGTGGGTAAGGTAGTTCGCCTTGTGTTTCTTCAATTGTCTAGACGCATAGGCAATCACCCGACCGTTTTGCATTAGTACACATCCAAGCCCTTGGATGCTAGCATCACTGTATATGTCATACCCTATCCCTTGTGTGGGTAGAGCGAGAACCGGTGCTTCTGTAAGTCGTTTCTTTAGTTCGAGGAAACCTTTCTCACAATTGTCGTCCCATATGAACTTGGCCCCTTTCTTTGTGAGCTTTGTCAATGGAGACGCCAATACGGAAAATTTTTCGACAAACTTACGATAGTATCCCGCTAGGCCAAGGAAACTACGTATCTCTTTCACATTTTTGGGTCTCTCCCAATTCATAATGGCTTCTATCTTGGCCTTATCCACTGCAATGCCCGAACCCGACACGACATGCCCGAGAAACCCAATCTCTTTGAGCCAAAACTCGCATTTCGAGAACTTTGCAAAGAGTTTTTTTCCCTTAGCCGTTCAAGTACAAGCCTCAAATGATCTTCATGCTCCTCTTCACTTTTGGAGTATACTAGAATGTCGTCAATGAATACAATCACAAATTGATCTAAGTATTCACTAAACACACGGTTCATCATGTCCATGAACGCCGCCGGTGCATTGGTTAGACCAAATGACATCACCAAAAACTCGTAGTGACCATATCTAGTGCGAAATGCACTCTTAGGTATGTCACTCTCCTTTATCTTCAACTGATGATACCCCGACCTCAAGTCAATCTTCGAAAATACTGTCGCCCCTCGAAGTTGATCAAACAAGTCATCAATCCTCGGTAAAGGATACCTGTTCTTGATCGTGACCTTGTTCAACTGTCGGTAATCTATACGCATTCTTAGTGTGCCATCTTTCTTCTTAACGAAGAGTACGGGTGCTCCCCACGGTGAATGACTGGGTCTAATGAACCCGTTGTCCAATAGCTCTTGAAGTTGAACCTTCAACTCTTGAAGCTCGGCCAGTGCCATTCGATAAGGAGGAATCGAAATGGGTTTGGTTCCCGGCTCCACTTCAATCACGAATTCGATCTCTCTGTCGGGTGGAAGCCCCGGTAGGTCTTTGGGAAAGACATCCGGGTATTTGCATACGACTCGTACATCTTTGTCGTCGACTTCCTTCTTGGTATCGTCCACCACGTAGGCAAGGTATGCGTGGCATCCCTTCCTCATCATCTTCCGTGCTCTCATCACGGATATGATACAAGCATTAGATTTCCCCCGATCTCCCTCGAAACATAGCGTGTTTCCTTGATCATCCTCGAGCTCCAACACTTTGGTGTAGCAATCTACTCGAGCATGGTGTTTCTCTAGCCAATCCATCCCGAGGATCGCATCGAACTCCAACATGCTTAGAGGTACGAAATCGCAAGTCAAGGGTTGACCCGTCACTTCCACCTCACATGATGGATAGTAATGATTTCTCTCCACGTCATCTCCTAACGGTGTGGAGACCAGTAATGTTTGCGTCATAGGCGTCAATGGCACGTCAAGGCCCTCGGCAAACGCCTCACTTACGAATGAGCGTTGTGCCCCAGTATCGATGAGGATCCTCGCACACCTACCATTGATCTTTAATGTTCCTACATTTATACACCATGTAAGACACCTTTTCTAATGTTTTTACACATCATTAGGAGGTTATTAGGTTCATACTAATGTTTGGAATCAAACGGGGGTCCAAACGTAGAAGAACGGAGCGAAAAAAATGAGTTTTCGGCTGCCGGGGGTCCACGCACGGCGTGCCTGGGTGGCACGCACGGCCGTGCGTGCATAGAAGTCTCCGTGCTCGCCACTGCCTCCCAGGCACGGTGCCACGCACGGCGTGCCTGCGGCCGTGCCTGGCTAATTTTTTTCGGAGAAGCCACTGCCTCCCAGGCACGGTGCCACGCACGGCGTGCCTGCGGCTGTGCCTGGCTAAATTTTTTTTTTTCGGAGAGGCCACTGCCTCCCAGGCACGGTGCCACGCACGGCGTGCCTGCGGGCGTGCCTGGCCGGCAGTGGCTGTTTCCAGCCTGATTTGGCCTAACTCACCCGGTTTGACCCCGGGGTGGCCCGCACTCAATCCCAATGACGTATATGATCAAAGTAAGCCTAGAAATGCCCAGAATAAGTGTATTACCTGCGACGGAGTCGGGATTATCCCGAGCATCGGCCTCGGTCATTGCGTAGACTCTAGCTTGCGTCCTTCCTTGATTCACGGACGGCGCATTGCTGGTGCTCGCTCCCCCTTGCCCCGTACTAGCATGGGGTGCTCCGGTCCAACTCCTACTTGCCGTAGTAGCGCCGCTTGATCCCGCCCCCCGGTTCCCACCAAGTTGAGGGCAATTTGGTTTAATATGCCCCGTGTCTCCACATTGGTAGCACCGAGGAGGGTCACGACACTTACCGGCGTGGCTCATGTTGCAATTTTGGCACCTGGGCGCCGTTGAGGCTTGTGAGCCCGAGTTGTGCCCGCCGAAAGCCGGGTTTCCCTTGGATGGCGGTGCCGGTGCTCTGAACGATCCCCCTCCCCCGTGGTTCCCCTTTTTTTTAGAACCTTGGGGGCCATGGCTTTCCCACTTCCTCTTCTTCGCCTCCTCGGCGTTCCTTCGCTTTCTTTCCTCCCGCTCCTTCTCTCCCTCCAGGCCTTGTTCAACCACTTGACTAAACGTCATATTAGGCAATTGTGTTGCCCTCTCGCGTATGTCAAGGTCCAAGGCATCCCAGAAGTGATTCACCATCCGGTTCTCATCACATATGTACTCCGGTATGAACTCGGCAAGCTTTCTGAACTTGTGCTCAAGTTCTTTCACCGTGCATTCCCCTCCTTGGGTCAAATTCGTGTACTCCCTCCTCTTCAAGTTCACCTCGAAGTCGGAGTAGTATTGACTAAAGAATTCTTGCCTAAAGTTCTCCCAAGTGACGGCCTCGCCGTACTTCCCTTTAACTCCGTCCCACCACGTGGACGCCATGCCTTCTAGCAATCTTGTTGCCACTCTCATCTTCATGTGGGGTGGCAGTTGCGTATCAAGGGCCGCTTCGTTGAATCTTTTGATCCATTCGGCCGCAACGGAGATGTCTCCCGTTCCGTCAAACGGTTTACAGCCCAAATCTCTTGCCTCCTTGAGGTACTTCGAGATCCGTATAATAGGAACCTCGGCACCTCGACCTCCTCGGGGTTCAATGCTCTCCCTAGGAGTCACGCGGCTTCCCCTCCTCGAAGCCCTTTCCAAAGCACGCCTTGCTCGGCGCCTTTGGCGATCTTGCTGGTATTGCCGGAGCAATTCCTCGATTCTCTCCAGAGCGCCATTATCATCGCTCCCTTCACTCACGTCATCATCTTCCCCATCATATGGGGTCTCAACCGGCTCCGTTCCCGGTCGGTACGTCGAATCCTCCTCGGACTCATAATGCTCGTCTATTGTTTCAACATGACCGTCACTCACGGTCAACGAATGGCCTGCACGACCCTGTCCTCTGGACACCCTCGATGCCCCTCGACTGCCATGTTGGGACCTTCCCAGTGCCTGGCCAGTCGGGTTTCGTCGAGTAACCTTGCCGGTACGTTCCATTTCTGAAAGAGATTGAGAATGAGTCATTAGACCCGTATCAAATGTCAATTGACGGATAGGTACTTAAAGATATCCTTTGGCTCAAATCGCCGCCATGCCAATTGTTAAGGGTACCATCTTAACAATTAGAGACCTTGCAACTCAAGTACCAAAAGTTCTATAAGTACAAAACTTTATGCTCATGGTTTGTAAAAATCATTTTCAAAAAGGAATTTTGAAGCTTCATTATGAAGTTTACGGACTAAGGCTCTGATATCAATTAAATTGTCACGCCCCGGACCTAACCGGACACGTCAACAATCCGCCGTACAGTACGAATAGTCAACCGCAGTCCAACGCATCCATACTATACAAGGCGTCTGGGATATCATTCACACATAGTACATCCATAAACAAACATAATATAAAATGTTCATTCAAAACAGCGGAAACGTTTAATACAAGTGTTCAAGCCACACTTGGCGAAGTATGGGCATACAAGCCATCAAATAATTATTCAAAAGATAACATCCATGAGCATTGATTTAAATGATTTTAAAACAGGAACGGAGGAAGCACGAACCACGTCTTCTTCTCCTGAATTCTCTCGGAGCAACGGCACTGGTAGCAACCTTCAAGTTCTACCTGAAACTGTGAGGTGGCCTCCCCCGTGAAGGGGAGGTCAGTACTTGGAAGCATTTGACAAGTACAATGACAACTATACTAAGTATAATCAAAGTTTCAATTTCCAAGACCCTCAATCTAAGATGTTATTCATTTGTATTTAACTCACGTTCCTTCATGCTAGAGCTCGGCTCATAGTCATACTAATTTGTGCTAGAGCTCGGCTCATAGTCACCTTACGTTTGCTAGAGCTTGGCTCATAGTCATACTAATTTGTGCTAGAGCTCGGCTCATAGTCACCCTACGTTTGCTAGAGCTCGGCTCATAGTCATACTAATTTGTGCTAGAGCTCGGTTCATAGTCACCCTACGTTTGCTAGAGCTCGGCTCATAGTCATACTACCATGTGCTAGAGCTCGGGTCATAGTCACGTCAACTAATCCCTAAACCACTTCTTAGTCTAGGTCCCAACCATTTTGAGTAACCCTTAAGGCCTACTCCAAATGTAATTTGAGTTCATAAAGTCCACCTTAAACATGTCCTTTAAGGTTACTCAATTCCAATATCTTGGGATTAGCTCCCAAAAACTATTGAACTAACATTCCCGACTAGTATTTCTATACTAGTCATTTAACCTTAATAAACCAATGCAAATTCATAATAATTTGAATATTTCAATTAAATTCCACATTCAAGTATAACTTGGCTCTAATATCAAAATATCACTTTTATCCTTCCATGACTTCCTTACATGAGGTAAAAGTATATTTATCATAATTTAGTTTATAGTTTACACAACTATTATACCATTATATTTATAACACATAATCATACACAATTTATTCATAAATTTGTATATTATGCATTTTTGCTTATAAACAATAATAATCTCATTTAGGCATTTTTTTATTATAAATAAATCATGCCAAAAACATATAATTCATTTAGGTAATCTTACGAAATTAACCCAATAATTATAAGCAATATAGTCGGTCATCCTCACCTTAAGTGAGCTTAAGCGTGTTCTACGCTCCGCGGTTGAACTTTGACTAATTCCGGCGAACTTTGACCAACTCCGGCGAACTTTGACCAACTCCGGCGAAACTCCGGCGAAGCTCAAAAACACTTTAATCAAGTTCCTAACAAGGTTTTAACATCATAAAACCTTAATCAATACAAATAACCCCTAAAAGGTTATTTTCCGGTGAACTTGTCGGTTTGGCTTCTAAATCCGTTCTTGGACTTAGAACCACTCTCCAACCCATTATTCTACACTTAAATTATGTAGAACAACCCTCAAGGTTCTTCATATGATATATATCTCATATGATAGAATAAAAATAGAGGAAAGTTATGATAAGGTTATTACCTTAATCCTTTCACACTTTTAACACTTTAGCTCCTTTTCTTGGTATTCTTTCTTGTAAAGCTCTCTTCAACAAAGGAGAAGGAGGATGGAGAATTTTCTTGGCTCTTGCTTGGTGTTCTGGCCGAAGGGGTGAGGGAGAGAGTGGGTGAGGATTGTTCTTTGTCTTTTGATCAATGAGTGAGCCAAATGGGGGTCCATCATGTGTACTTTTGATGCCTTTCCTCTCAACCCCAACATCTCCCACCTTCCCCTCTCCATTCCAGCCGCCCCACCTCCACATTCATGTGTCAAAATTCGTGGGTTGGCCCCCACTTATGTGGGAGGTCAACCCCTTTTGTCCAGAAGTGTACAATCGGTCCCGAAAGTTGTATTTTTCGGACTGTTTTAAATATATTTTATTTTATGGGGTCACATAAAATATATTATGTGTTCTCAATCATTATGACCCTTATAGTGAATATACATTCCCCAGCTTTAATTTAAAGGTCTCCGAAATCCAATTTCGGACTGTTATCCGTTAAATTACCAATACCGGTAACTGAGCCGCTTTTGAGAAATCGGTTCACATTATGCCATTTCTTTGGACCAAATAAATTATCCACCTCTATATAAATATTATTTCGACCAAGTTGAATAAAATATACGGTCTCGGGAATATCGGGCGGCCCCGCTCCCGGTGTGGGTCCCACGTGCGAATTTATTATTCGCGCAAAAGAAATATTAAAAATTCACCACTTCGTATATTCATTAACCATTCCATAAGGTTCAATACATTATACTCTTAAAAGTAAATACATTTGGGGACGGTGTTACAGTTACTCAGTCTTGTCCACTCTGATGTATGTGGACCCATTCAAGAGGAGACATTTGGAGGAAGCAACTATTTCATGACATTTATTGATGATGCATCACGAAAGGTATGGGCTTACATTCTAAAACGTAAGGATTAAATTTTTTATCGTTTCAAATTATCACATGTTATGATAGAAAGAGAAACAGGGAAGAAGTTGAAGTGTTTACGCTCTGACAATGGATGAGAGTACACTTCTCGGGAATTATGAGCATATTACGTGTCGTATGGAATTACATATGAGAAGACGGTTCCACGAACCCCACAATACAACAGTTAGCCGAAACAATGATTTGAACCATTTTGGAGAAAGATCATTGCATGCTCAGTATGGCTAAACTACCTAAGCCATTCTGAGGGTGAAGTTGTGCTGATAGCTTGTTATCTTATAAACAAGTCACCTTTTGTTCCCTTAAACTTTGAAATTCTAGAGAAGAGATGGTCAGGGAGAGATGTTTCTTACTCTCACTTGAAAGTATTAGGGTGCAGTCGTGCACAAGATTTGCACATGTGTCTACGGACTTGAGACAGAAGCTTGATGTCAAGTCAAATTGATGCATCTTCATCGGCTATGCAGATCAAGAATTCGAATACCGGTTCTGAGATCCCGAAATGAAGAAAGTAATTCAAAGTAGAGAAGTTGTATTTCATGAAAACGAGTTTCATGAGTGTGCTCTAATAATCTGCGAACAACATACCTCTCATACTCTAGAAGACGACATCTTTGTATCATAAAAAATCCCTCTTAGCAACGAGGAAATGCATGATATTACAGAACACGAGAATGGTGATCAAGTAGATGTTGATGATGGTCACAATGATGATATTCCTCAGCAGGGAGAACCTTCACCTGAAGACGTAGCTGAAGGTACTCAAGTTTAACGTTCTATGTGAGGCATAATTCCACAGAGAAAATATTCTACATCTGAATGGATACTCGTTGTCAATGAGGGGGAGCGCTAGAGCATCGCATGAATGAGAGATATACATAAACAGGTGGAGGGGGGGGGGGGGGGGGGTTGTGAGGATCTTACACCTTCTTTCTTGGAACTTGTCAAGAAACACCTAGGAAGCTATAACATGACACCTTCTAGGACAAGCCATCCATCACTAAGGATCTTCCACCTCTCTTGGAAGTTGCTAAGAGATAGCTAGGAACCTCCCTAACCATGCATGTAAATGAAAGCTTGGATGCAACTACCTCTTGTCTCCCCCATCTACACCTATAAATATGATGTCTTTTGTTGTTCATTAACATCATAACACAAAGTGAGAAAGGTGTGTGTAGAGCGTGATATGCACTTAGAGAAGAAGTGTATGAGTGAGGATTGTTTTTTTTTTGTAATCGTTGAGTGTGAGAGTTTGCTCTTCCTATTGTAATTTTGTTCTTTGTATTGAATAGAAGAATTTTTCAATCTCAACCGTAGGTACCAATCTCTTTTTTCTCTAATACAAACATGTTAAAATATTATAGCTCTAGGGTAGATATGATAAGTTTCTTTGTGAGGAAGCGGTTCAGTCCAGCTGGTCGTCGACTCACTCTCCCTTACGGGAGGTCCCGGGTTCAATTCTCAATAGAGTGAAATTGATCTCAGTTTACCCCAAGCCCCCCAAATCACCCTCCCCCTGACGCCCCTTGGGGAAAAAATATGATAAGTTTCTTTGTTGGTAATAATTTGATCATAGATAGTGTTTCTAATATGTGAGCATCACAAGTGAAAGAATAAAAATGGATGTGAAAGTGTTGGATTTCGACCAACATTGTCCTAAATCTACCTAACAACATTATATATATTTTTAATCATAGTTATTAGTTAGTATCATTTAGTTGTGTCAATCTAATACTCCCTCCGTCCCAATTTGATGATCCCGTATTTCCTTTCTGGACTGTCCCAAATTGATAGTCTCATTTCCTTTTTTGGAAAGAAATATGTGGTCCACACCATTTCACCTTTTTATACTCAAATCTCAACCACAACTTTTACCTTTTCAACCACTTTCTTAATATTTGAGCCCAAAAGAAATGGGATCATGAAATTGTGACGGAGGGAGTATTTGTTTGGCCAAAACATGTACCCTTACCCTATCAACCCTCTTTCTTCTTGCATTATCTTCCTCAAATTAATCCTAATGTGGGCAAAGGGAAGTTAATTTGTTCTTGCGTTAAATTGACGAGCTCCTCCCTCAATATGCCGCACCTCCTTCTTCTAAGCAATGTTTTCTGACATTCGAACAGTCACAACCTCATTACCAAACCCTTTTACCAAACCTTTGAGTCTCAACCTTTTAATTTTTGTGATTGATTCTGATTTTTATATTAATCGACAATAGCAATTATCTCTAAACATATATCTGATTTGAGCATGACCTCCTCTATGTTTCAGATATTCCACCTCCTCTCTTAGTCTCCACTTCTATAATTGTTGCTAATTTTGTTTTTAAATTCAAATGAACAAATTAATTTGGGGTAACTTATTAAAAGCCCTGGTTTCACGCCTAGACAATTTAAGGGCTTCATTAATAAACGTTAGAAATATGAACAAAATTGTGAGGCTCGTAATAGTAATGTAAATTAGCATTAAAATTTGTTTTCCAATCCGCATTTTGACTTATTTTTTATATTAGGTCTTTTAATAGTTTGAAATTGATAACGTAGGTTTGAGAGTCGGCCGACTGTAAACCCTAGGAGGCTACCTAGCTTCTCTCCAATTGGCGGCCGTAGCGTGGTGATTGACAACCACCATTAACATCTTTAACATCTTTCCTTGGAAAATAAAATAAGGGGTTCTACTATGCTTCTAGTGTTATTTGATATCTACCTTGGTGAATTATGGTTTTGGTCAGACTTCTACTTTGGTCGAGATTTTTGTTCGCTTCAAGTGAGCGTGAAATATGTTATTGTCCTAGAAAATGTCTAGATGTTGTGTATTTCTCGTCGGTGTAATCGATTGGGTGGTGAATTTTCATTGTGCATGGGTGGCAAGACTTGTTGAACCTAGTTTTTCTAAGGACTCAATTATTCGCTCTTCTCCTAAACCACCGCCTCACTCAAAGAAAAAGATAACACTCAATTGGATCTCATTTTCGGTCGGTGATCAAATAAATGATTCGAACAAATTCTGCTCAACAGGGTTTCCTTTGTTGGTTGTCGGTCAAATCAATTCTCCCTTTCTTGTGGTTGGTGAAGCAGGATCTTTTAGTTGTATATTTTTTTTTATTTCTCTTTGGAGTAGCAAGAAGAGTAGCAAGACTGTTAGACTAGATTACATTATTGTAGGGTTAGCAAATTGGAAGGATTCATTAGATCTCTTCCGCCCTATGTTTCATCCCCCTGTAGTCTTAGACTGTTGATTCTGTTGTATCTTTGCTATTAATTAATAATAATTTAGTTATTTGATTTAAAAAAAAGCTTAAAATTGATGCATTTGGTGAATTAGAGATTAGTTTAAATTGCAGCATACACTCGCATGGCTGCCAAAATAAACCGGTAACACGCTCAAGCTCGGACCGGGACCGGAACAGCCTATAACCGAAAAACCCTGAAATTGGCTAGGAAACCGGAATTGGGGGTAAAATCTACACCTTTAATCAAAACTAGATTTTCACCCGTGCTTCGCACGGGATGCACTTAGTAAACAATAAATTATATGGCTATATACAGAAATATCGTGATAAAGATACAACAACATATGTATTGTTTCTAACAAAAGTAAATAAAGATAAAAAGATTACAAATTATTGTAAAACATTCAAGGTTTTCTCGATCGGTTTTCCTTTATCATCACATAAAATAAACTTTAACCCCATAAAGGGACGTTATTCTTGAGACCGTGACGTAAAGTAATTAAAGTTGTCCATGGGTGAAAATCGGACGACGTAAGAAAACACCAACTCTCTCCAAGAATTATCCCTGACTCTTATTAGTGGTCATCGCGCAGCAAAGCATCAAAGGGGACTGCCTGCATTGAAATGTGAACAACAATTTTAATTTAGGTCAAATGGAGTCAAACAAAGCTTAGGAATGAGAAACTTTTCTCCTGCTTCAGTTCGAGACATCATCTGAGTCTTGAGTTTTGAGTTTAGTGATGATGGGTCGAGTGTCATAACTGTCATTACACAATCCGAAATAATGATTGATATTCCTCATTAGCATCACAGGTGCACCCACTTTTAGTTTCAACTTATGACTTGGCACACCAGAGCATTTAATGCTATTGAGAAATTTTGGAGAATGAATGTCTTGAAGGATTGCAAATCGGAAGAAGAGGCTGAATCTGAGGTTAAGTATGTCTTTACCTTTCCAAGACTCGGC